CCCCCCCCCAACACACTGTAAAGCGTAGGTGCACATATCTGTATTTCTATGTGTGTATATATATATGTGTGTGTGTGAACGTGATTCGTTTTCTTAGATGTCAAATTTAATGTTCAAGAAACGTATGAAAGACTCGACTTCAAGACTGGACTGGACACTGCCACTCACACTCTGAAAGATTTCAAGACTTCAATATACATAGACAAAACAAACAGCAAAACTAGATTTATACAAAGAAAAAGCACATGTTTCTTAAATTCACCTTTTGGATGACTGTGCTTTGTGACACGGGTTTCATCTTCCTCTATATCTATATCGAATGAAGATGTACAGTCTTTGAGTCTTTGGCACTTTGGAAGCTCACAGTTGGCTTCTGTTTGTATGCTTGCCTACCTTTAGCCTTGGGGTTGGCTAAATGTCAGTGCAGACACTTTGTGCTGTGCTGCAGGCCGTTGCATTCAGTTCGCGAATTGTGGCAAACCAACTTGCCATACAAATACAGAAACAAACCGCCGAGTTGTGAGAGAAGGAAAAGTGACTCTCATCATGGCCAGCGCTCGAAAGTGCTGCACACAAAAACAAACATGTTCCCATGCCCGTACACAAAATGTTCGCATTGCGGTTATTCCCGAATGCGTAGCGAAGGGTTCTCGTTTAACTCTTGGGGGTCTGGGGGTAGAGCCTTGTTCGCGACCCGTTGCTTCTATGTTCGCAACCGTCCGCAACCGTTCGCAACCGTCCGCAACCGTTCGCAACCGTCCGCAGTAGGTCGCTAAGGCGCTGCCATTGGGGGAAGCTTTTGCAAGTGACTTTTCATGGATGTGTCACGCGTCAGTTTGCGCCGCTATTCCATTGTGATTTGCATGAAATTGGGATTAGCGTTTGGAGAGTCGTGTTTTTGGGGTGTTGGATGTGGCCGTGCCATTGGGATTTGCGTTGTAGGGTGTGGCATCGAAGCTCTGTTTTCGTGACAAGTCTCAGCTGGAATGGCGATTTTGGTGGATGGGAGTGTGCTCAGAACGGGTCGAAATCATTCTAAACGTGTGGTGTGGTGCAAATTTTGTTGAAGCTCACGTGAGATGATATTCTCACTTTTCGTGGCAGGCACGGTACTTTGTGCTGATTTTGAGGTGTGGAAGTGCGATTTTCGTGGCAGGCGCAGGAAATCGTGAGGTTGCGAGGTGTGACGGAAGTGACATTTCGTGGCAGGCGCAGTACTTTGTGGGCGTTAGACGTGTGGATGCGGAAAGATTCGTGGCAGGCGCAGGGAATCGTGAGGTCGTGAGTTGTGGTAGAGGTGAACGTCGCTGTCACATTGGGATTGGCGTGTGAGCGGGTATTGTTTGGAGGGGCTGGACTCGCGAAACTGCTTGGCAGGGCTGCGTGATGTGTGTGCTCCGATGGGTGTTTCCGCTTGACTTTTGGAGGAAGTCTCGCACGAAATCCTCGTTTTGCAGACTTTGACATGTGAGTTTTGGAGGAAGTCTCGTACGAAACGCTCGTTTTGGAGACTTGACACATGACTTTTGGAGGAAGTCTCGTACGAAACGCTCGTTTTGGAGACTTGACGTGTGAGTGTCCCACAAGAGTGTCCCACAAGAGTGTCCCACAAGAGCGTCCCACAAGAGTGTCCTACAAGTGTGTCCTACAAGAGTGTCCCACAAGAGTGTCCCACAAGAGTGTCCTATAAGAGTGTCCCACAAGAGTGTCCTACAAGAGTGTCCCACAAGAGTGTCCCACAAGAGTGTCCCACAAGAGTTTCCTACAAGAGTGTCACACCAGAGTGTCCCACAAGAGTGTCCCACAAAATTGTCCCACAAGAGTGTCCTACAAGAATGTCCTACAAGAGTGTCCCGCAAGAGTGCCCCACAAGAGTGTCCTGCAAGAGTGTCTCACAAGAGTGTCCCACAAGAATGTCCCACAAGAGTGTCCCATAAGAGTGACCCACAAGAGTGTCCTATAAGAGTGTCCCACAAGAATGTAGGATAAGAGTGACCCACAAGAGTGTCCTATGAGAGTGTCCCACACAAGGAGTGTCCTACAAGAGTGTCGTGTAAGAGTGACCCACAAGAGTGTTCCACAAGAGTGCCCCAGAAGAGTGTCCTACAAGAGTGTCCCGCAAGAGTGTCCTACAAGAGTGTCCCACAAGAGTGTCCCACAAGAGTGCCCCGCAACAGTGTCCCACAAGAGTGTCCTGCAAGTGACCCACAGAGTGTCCCACAAGAGTGTCCCAGAAGAGTGTCCCACAAGAGCGTGCTATAAGAGTGTCCCACAAGAGTGTCCTACAAGAGTGTCCCACAAGAGTTTCCTACAAGAGTGTCCCACAATCCCACAAGAGTTTCCTACAAGACTGTCACACAAGAGTGCCCCACAAGAGTGTCCTACAAGAGTATCCCACAAGAGTGTCCCACAAGTGCCACAAGAGTTTCCTACAAGAGTGTCGCGCAAGAGTGTCCCGCAAGAGTGTCCTACAAGAGTATCCCACAAGAGTGTCCCACGAGAGTGTCCTACAAGAGTGTCCCACAAGAGTGCCCCACAAGAGTATCCCACAAGAGTTTGCTACAAGAGTGTCCCACAAGGAGTGTCCTACAAGAGTGTCGTGTAAGAGTGACCCACAAGAGTGTCCTACAAGAGTGTCTCACAAGAGAGTGTCCCATAAGAGTGCCCGACAAGAGTGTCCTACAAGAGTG